CATCCTGCCATGGTGCCAGTCCAGTTTTGGAGATATCCACATGGGATACATTTGCTTCTTTTTTCTCAGGCTCTACAGAAGCTCCTTGCGAACCTTTAGATGTCTTTTTTCCTTTCTTTTCTTCTGTTTTTGACGCCTCTGCCTCTGCCTCTGCCTGCCTGCAACCACCCATTTCCATGCTAAACATCTTTTCGAACAGATTGTACTTCCTCTTGTCAACAGGACCATTAAGGACCACATCTTCTCCATGTCCGTTGACGTGCATCCCATTACACACAGTGTTTTTTCCTACCGCTCCCTCCTCAATGTCGTACTTCTTCACTGGGGCAGGTTCCTCTTCTTGTTCCTCCATTAACTCAGGAAAGCAGCTCCTCATTTTCAACCTGGCACATAGATGTTTCTGGTCTCTCAGTGCCATGGAAAGGTCCAGTGATTCCTGCTCATAGAGCTCTTTCAGAAGGTTCGTATACAAGGGGGCTTCTGGGTTCTCAAGAGGCCAACGGTTCCACTCCTTCAAGCAGCAGACGACGCTTGCGGGACACACCTCAAGGTGTTTGGCCAGCCGAGAGCGACACATGGTGAAAGGGCAGCCATAGTGAGCATTAAGGCAGGGCACGTTCACATTGGGACACAGCAGAGAGTGTTCATCCTCCTTACACATGTGGAAGGAGGCCCCACAAAGCAAGCGGCAGTTGATGACCATGCATGACACGGATACTTCTATGGAGGCTTTGCAGCGGCGACTGTAACAGGTCTCACAATGTCTGTGCAGCCTCGGACCAGATCTCCTATAGCGACTCTGTGGGAAAACACAATAGACAAGCACAACAAAGCAACTTACACTGGTTCCAAATTGGAATCTCATAAAGACAAGCACAGACTTCATTCTATATTGTTGTATCTCCAATAGAAACAGGGGCTTTCTCATTCGAAAGCACATTTTGATTGGACAAAAATTTGGATTAAAGGGATAGTTCCCCCAAAAATGAAAATTAGCTCCGATGAGAAGTGACGAAGCGCAGAGGAGAGAGCAAAACAAAACACTGGTCACGATTAGAAGGACAATTAGAAGTACAAAACGAGGATTTGTGAAGAAAAATGTTGGAGGATTTCGATATAAGCCAAGAGGAGAATGGTTTTCCTTTGCTCCTGTAAACAAAACTTGGTTCTCGCGAGACTAGCATATTCTCATCGGAGCTTACGCTATGCCTACGTCCTACATCATCCGCTGGAAAACCACTCTCTCGTGAATGCGCATACTGTTTATAAAGTTTTAAATATGGATATTTTTCTTACACAAAGGCATCGATTCAATTATTTTTATGATGGATGGATGCACTTTATTGGACTTCTATTGGACTATTGAATATCAACACCCATTCACTGCCATTATAAAGCTTGGAAGAGTTAAGTTTTTTTTAATATAACTCTGATTGTATTCGTCTGAAAGAAGAAAGTCATATACACCTAGGATGGCTTGAGGGTGAGTAAATCATGGGGTCATTTTGATTTTTGGGTGATCTGTCCCTTTAATTTAGATCTATCTGATTTTGAGTCAACTTTTATGAATACAATAGCATATGAATGGCCTCTGTAATGCTGGGGCCAAAAGAGAGATGAGGTGGATCCAATCACAGAGAAGGTTTATTTACTGAATAAAATTAAACAAAACATAGGTAAACCAGGATAACATGGAACAGGAGCAGATCAGGAACATAGAACACGAGCATCTACAAGAAACAACAACTGACCAAACACAGGGGTATATATACACAAGTTAACCATGGTTAACAAGGGACAGGTGTGGGTGATTACTTGTCATGGAGATTAACAAGGCAAACAGAGACACAGAACACAGGAAGAGAGCACAGAATAATAATGCTCCATAATATAATGCTACCAGATTCTGTAATTCACATTTGTATCATGACATATACTTTTACAAACAAAATATCACTGTGTAACCAATATTTTAATAATGAGAATATTAAATGAACATACCATTATTATCTGAAGCAGTGTCAATGAGCTACAGCAGCTTCTGGAAAAAAAAGGTAGTATTTTACTCATTAAAATATATGTATACACATATTGATCAATTATAACACAATTATCTGTATGCATTTATATATTACATTGTGCTAAAACACAAATTTTCCTTATAAAAGTACCTGGTTTTGTAAGACCTTGCTGTATACTTAAGGGCAAGCGGTTGCAGACAGCACTGACAGCAGAAGCTAAACAGTTACCAAACAACTTACCTAATGGGTGAACCATGTCTCAAGAAGTTCCCTGGCTTGTTCCAAGACTCCTTTCTAAAGAACAGGATGTGGGTCATGTTAAAAATAGTTGCCTCAGCTGTCAGTAGCAAGTTACATGGCTTGAAGATACTGAGGAAAAGTTGACAAACACATGACAAGCATAGTCAAATAAAAAGCAATATATTTTTGTCTATCTTGCTATAATTAAAGCTCTTTACTACCTACAGAGGGCGAACAAAAGACAGAACAGACAGGCAGAAAGAGTTTAAACTTGTTTGTTTTTTTATTGTTTCACCAGTGGGTCACTAGATGGCAGTCTTTCCTTTTGGGTTATGGGACTGGGATCCCCAAGGACACAGTGTATTATTCAAGAAACCTTTTGTTATCTGAACACAAACATATTTTGTGCTCTTCTCCATCCTTACCCTTTCCTTCTTTTTCATTAATGAGTTTTTGTCATGTGATGTTCCTGATGTAATTGCTTTTTTATCAGGAGGCTCAGGAACATCCATCCATCCTTTTTCCAAACTGCTTGTTCTATGTAAGGTTAAGGGGATGCTGGAGCCTATCCCAGCATCTCTGGCCATCGCAGTGCTGGCTCAGAAACAAGTCAAATTCCACATTTATATTGATGCAGTTAACTAATATAACTTTTTACAAGTTGGCCATCATGTAATTCTACAGAAAAATGCATGTGTAGTTTTGTGTGCAATGCAGTTGTATGCTATCGTATAGTGGGCCTATACTATACCACAGTATATTCGTAGAATAGAATAGATCTTTATTGTCATTCTAAAAGGAACAACAAAAATACATTTAGCAGCTCTTCGATATCAGAATAACAATAAACACTGTATATAAAAAAGGACAATTGTGAAAAGAGAAACATGATGTGAATGAAAATGTAAATATATACAAACAAATAAACAGTATAAACAGACATATATAAGACATATATACAAAATGACAAAGGCTTAAATATAGAATGAAGATATAAATGCACTATAGTAACCACATTTCCTGGCAAATTATCATGATGTGGTTAATGTTATTAGTAAAATGAATATGATATATTCAATCAAAACGTGTAACTTTTAAAATAGTTCATTGTATTTTTGTGTTTTGTTTTCACTGGTGGATACCAAGTAACAAGTGCCAATACCTGTTCTAAATGTAGTATTTTTGAGCGAAACTATAATTACAATGGTACATTTTTGAAAGAGGTGCTATATCGTAAGCCAATTAGTACATAGCCTACTATAGTACAGTGTAGTATAGTATACTAAATAGTTCCACTATAAACATTAATGTTTAAATGTAAAACTTAAAATATGTGTGAATTAATTGTGGTAATTAAAATAATTATTTTTACAATCAGTTCTATCAAATGTGGCCTGTAATCATTTTGTTCAATCTTTGTGGGTCCTTTCTGGTCGTGACATTTCTAGTTTTCTAACATGTAGATCAAACACTTTTGTAAATGTTTTATATCAAATTAAACAAGAAAATATGCTGACTCAGATTACTTTATATCCATCCAAATAAAATACAGCATTAAAGGGGTCATATGATGCTTTTTTAAAGATCATTATTTTGTGTATTTGGTGTAACAGAATATGTTGACATGCTTTAATGTTCAAAAAACACATTATTTTTCAAATACTGTACATTATTGTAGGTCCTCTATGCCCCGCCTCTCTCAAACACGTCTTTTTCTACAACGTGCCTCTTTCCGACAAGCGCAGTCTGCTCTGATTGGCCAGCTGACCCAGTGCATTGTGATTGGGCGAACACCGCTAGCACTCGTCGGAAATGTAACGCCCCTTACCATAATTGCGAGCTTCATCTTTCAAAATAAATGTAGACAGAGCCCGAAAGGGGAACAGAGTCGCGTGACAGACACAGTGATGAAGCTGGTATGTGTTTGTGATGTGACCCCCTCTCTCTCGCGTGCTCTCTCTCTCTCTCGCTCGCTCTCTCGCGCGCTCTCTCTCTCTCTCTCGCTCGCTCGCGCTCGCTCTCGCGCGCTCTCTCTCTCGCTCTCTGTCGCGCGTTCTCTTGCTCTCTCTCTCGCTCTCTCGCGCTCTCTCTCGCGCGCTCTCTCTCGCGCGTTCTCTCGCTCTCTCTCGCTCTCTCTCGCGCTCTCTCTCTCTCTCTCTCTCTGTCTCTCTCTCGCGCGCTCTTTCTCGCGCGCTCTCTCGCTTGCTCGCGCTCTCTCTCGCTCTCTCTCTCTCTCTATCTCTCGCGTGCTAACTGCGGTTACTGAAACCACGCCTTCTTTCTTTGCATGCACATTTGGGCTGCATTATGCAAATATTTCCACATAGTGAGGTAGATATGTGGGGGCGTGTTAGAACGAGCCGTTTTAGGGGTGTGTGGCAGAGTCTTAACTTTGATAAAGTATATCTCTTTGGTTTTGAGACTTTAGTCTTTGCAACTTCAGGGATCTTATCTATGCACAATCAGCTTGTAACACTCCAAAGAGAAAGGAAAACTTGAAATCGCATCATATGACCCCTTTAAATGTTACCTTCCAACCCCCAAAATTGTAATATTTTTTCTATTTTCTTTTTTTTTTTTTGTCCTGCAAATCCTTCGTATTTGTACACAGAGACATACAACTTCTAGAGTCACCTCAGGAGGGTGTAGTAGCCTACATACCAAACACTGCACAGTCGCCTAATCATGTCCTCATGTTTTACTGTAGGTGAGCGGGATCAGACCAGTAGGAGTCACCGCTACACTCGCTTTCTCGCTCTTCTGAACCTCTCAGTGATAGAGCAGGGAAACAACATGCCGGAAGTGGGGTTTCGGGAGACAGAGTTTCGGGACTCGTAACCGTGGAAAGTTTACTCTATTAAGAAATCTACTTTTCCCGATAATTAAAGCTGTTCGTAGGGTTCCTTTCACTGTTTCATTCATCCGCACTTTCACAATGGGGCTCCCGGCGCTGGAATTCAGTGATTCTTTTCTGGACAGTCCTGACTTCAGAGAGCGACTCAAATGCCACGAAATTGAGCTGGATCGTACTAATAAATTCATCAAGGAACTAATCAAAGATGGAAATATGCTTATCAGTGCGCTTAAAAGTAAGTTACAGGTCGTATGTCTTTTTAAATGTAAGATAATCTATGATTCATTGAGGTTTATAAGCGAGAAAGCTCAGATTTGTTTTATGTAAATATATCAGGATTCTCAGAATATACAGTAGCCTATATATATATATATATATATATATATGTGTGTGTGTGTGTGTGTGTTAAAGACATTTCATTTAACTACTTAAAACTGCAGCTCCATATGTAAAGGGTCTTCATAGACTTATTAAATATTTAATCTCATAGAGCAAATCATTACACACATATTTAACCACTCTAATATCAAACAGGTTGAAGAAGTAGTGAGCATGTACAGGGCTGGTGTATGCCATCATTTAATGCTTGTTTATTCAGCTGGGATCTGATGTGATATCAGAAAGGAGACAAGTCTCTGCTAGATATGCTGTTATCAGCCACTTCACCAGCAAGGCTCATTCGGGCTTTTGTACCAAACAAAAGGCAGTGAATGTCTTCCCAAAAAGACCTACATCTTGTTTTGCACTAATGCTTTAATTGACTAAGTATTTGAGATGTCATCCCCTTCCTTTTAGTTTGAACAAATCACTGCTTATATAATATTACAATAATAATAATAATGAATATGCTCAAATTAAAAGGAAGCTCCATCACATAACTCTGTTTGTTGTCTCTTTGACAGATCTATCTGCAGCTGTGCAGAAATTTTCCCAGTCCCTACAGGATTTCCAGTTTGAATGCATCGGCGATGCAGAGACAGATGATGAGATTAACATTGGTAAGTGGTTGGCAAATGATCAAGAAGAAAATTATATAAACATTCATGTGATTTAGTTAATTATACAATTTCTTACATGGATAGTTTACCTAAAAATGTAGTTTCTGACATCATTTACTTACACTTATGTCTTTCTGAACCAGTATGACCCTCTTTCTTTCATGCAACTCAAAAGAAATTTAACAGAATGTCGAAGCTGCTCTCATCCATACAATAATAGTAGATGGGACAAGTAGTCAAGCCCAAAAAAGATGAGTTCATATGACTTCTGAAACCATATAACAGCTTTGTTTGAGAAACAGATTGAAATTGAAGGCATTATATATCTCTTGCCTTGAAAATTCAGGTTGATCACATTCATTGTATGAAATAATCAGCTTGGTCATTCAGCTATAATAACTCTTTTGTCTCACAGAAGAAAGAAAGTTATACAGGTTTGGAATGACAGGAGAGTGTGTAAATAATGGCAGAACATTCATTTGTTGGGTGAACTATCCCTTTAAGCTGTAAACAGTGATGTAAACTGAAACAGTCTCTAAAATGTCCATGTCTCCATGCCAGCTTTTTATTTGCAGCTGCCGTCCTCAGTCACCCATCAGCAGTAACAAATAATGTCTAATAAAGCTGAGAACACTGCATATTGCTGTTGTACCTCAGCCCCATAGTATCAAACACAACAGTGATGGCTCTTTATCAGACTGAGACAATTGCTGCCTGACATTTAGAAAACCATGAACCCAAACAACCGTCTGCAAGGAATGAGAATGTTCCTTTCTGGCCCTGGCTGCCCATATTGGTCATAACAGTTTTAGATATTTAGACTGGTGAGACTGATAATTTGCAGTTTTATTGTTAAACATTTTAATGTTAAAATTTATACAGTTACTCCTTTTATCATCAAAATGTGCAAAAATCTTTCATTTAATAGGGTTATAAGTATTGGCGATACTGGTTTTGATTGCCAGTAATAATGACCATACACTACCATTAAAAAGTTTGGGGTAGTAAGATTTTTACTAACTTTCTGATCAAATAAATGCAGCGTTTGTGAGCAAAACAGACTTCTTTCAAAAACAGTAAAAAAAAAAAAAAATTACCCTAAACTTTTGAACAGTAGAGTATGTTTGCGATAAATCATAATACCAGATCTTCGAATGTGATATGAATATCTCAACAGGATAAGTATTGTTTCATGCATGCCTGGCATGTCCTTTTAAGTGCATCTCTGCGGATTTGTGGTTCTCCTGCTATGCATCAAAGCAGATTTGTCTTGCTGTAACATGATTTTTAAATGACTGAGGGTGTGTTTATCTGCTGGTCTGAACTCCTAATAGAAAGTAGTTGAAAGTAGTTCTTATCTGAGTTCCTAATTGGATAAAATCCCCAGAGAATGACGAGAGGGGACTGAGAGGTGGGACCCTGCTTATCGCAAAACAGAAGAATGCTGTATATCCCAGAACAGGAAGTGATGTGGCCAAAGTGTACTTTGTTTAGGAAAAAAAAAGCACAATCTCAGAATCACAACATCATGTGATTTTAGTATTATGACATAATATCAACAGTAGTTTATTTTAGATCACTGTTGTTTTCTCCCACATTTCTGTTTTGAATCTTTTTTCAGGTGCTGGTTTTAGCCTGCGTCTGGCTTATATTTTAAGTATCATGTTCTGTAAACATTACTACAAGGCATATTCAGGAACTAGCATTAACAATCACACTGTTAGAAATGTAATGGATCACTGTAAAACATGCATTTCAGCTTTTGAAATTATTTATCTTCCTTTTTTTTCTACGACTGACCATGTTGCACACATGCAGGGCTCATAGAGGAAACATGTTTTATGTTACTCTCACATTTCTACATCTTGAACATGTGGTCTGCTGTTTCTTGAATACCCCTTTGTGCATTGATCAGTTGTTGGGTGGCCATGGTATTTTTTTTTTTCTGCGTAGATAATATTATATGCAGGTTTTCTGTATTTCCTTTAAGCCAGAGGTTCAAAGTGCAAAGTCAGATGTGCTGATAGAGTAATTACAGATCCAGAGATGATGATTAATGATTGGAATTCTTTCTCTCTTATCACAGCCCAGTCATTCAAAGAATTCTCCCAGCTGCTGAACACGGTGGAGGAGGAAAGACGACGACTAGTAAGTTGCTTTGTTTCTGTTCTTTTGTTTCTAAAAAAAAAAAACTATAGCATTCAAAAAGTATGGAGTCTAGGCCTATAAGATTTTTTTATGTGTTTGAAAGAAGTCTCTTATGCCTCTTATGGCTGTATTTGATCAAAAATACAATTTAACTACAATTTAAAAATAACTTTTTGAATATATTTAAATTTATTCCTGTAATGGCAAAGCTGAATTTTCAGCAGCCAGTCTTCAGTGTCACATCTCTCATTCTAATATGCTGATTTGGTGCTCAAAAAACATTTCATATTTTTATCAATGTTGAAAACAGCTGTGCTGCTTATTGTTTTTGTAAATACCATGATTAATGTTTTGAGGATTGTTTGATGAATAGAAAGTTCAAAAGAACAGTATTTATTTGAAATATAATCTTTTGTAACATTATAAATGTTTTTACTGTCAATTTTGATCAATTTGATGCATCCTTGCTGAACAAAAGAATTCGTTTTTCTTTAAAAAAAAATGGAAGTGTCTTTTCAATGAATCATTAAGTTTTTGAATGGACAATTCCTTCAGACTATGTGTAGGTTTAACATCTCAATGATGCCATAAACACACCACATGATGTGGTCTACTTCAGAAGTACCGCAAACCTCATAAATGAAGTAGCCATAGTGATAGTTTGCTTTCTAGTAGTCGTCTCTTTATTGTTCCTTTTATGTGGTATTGTTCACACATAGTTAAAGTTTCATAGCACACTTCTAGCCAAGTGGTTTAGCCCCATGAGTGTGTGCTATTTTGAGGGAGAGTTTTTGTGAGTTCCGCAGTCAACTCTGTGTGTGATGAGAAACAGGCCGTCTACAAAAAAGATGCTTTCTGTAGGTCATGACTCTTCGAGGAGGGAAGGTAAACTGCGTAGATCTGCAAGTGCATCACTCATGCTGTTTCTCTTAAATATCAGTGGCAGCATCAGTGCCAACAGCGTAGTATCTTCATTGCCATCAGCTGCAGCTGCTAATAGGTGCTTTTATAGGCATTATGCAAGAGGCAGCGTGTTGCCAGGGAATATTACTGCCGTTCACTGCTGCAGCTGGTGGATCATTAGTCATAGTACAGCAGTGAAAGACCTCACCAGGAAAACAATGCTCCTCTGTGCTTCACTGCTGACCCTATACCACGTTAACAAACATGCAGCTTTGTTTGGGATTCATGAGACACTTTTCTGTACATTTCTTTTATTGATAATATAGTTTGAATACACTACCGTTCAAATATTTGGGCTAATTTTCTTGGCAAATCTCACACAGACTGTATTTATTTAGTCACAAATACAGTAATAATGTGAAATATTATTAAATTTTTTTTTCTATTCTAATACATTTTAAAATGTAATTTATTCTTGTGATGGCAAAGCAGTCATTACTCCAGTCTTTAGTGTCACATGATCCTTCAGAAATCATTCTATAATTCTATAATATACTGATTCGGTGCTCAAAAATAATATCAATGTTGTTTACAGTTGTGCTGCTTAATATTTTTGTGAAAACGGTGATATATTTTTATGAATAGAATATACTTTGATGAATAGAAAATTAAAATTTTATTAGAATTTATTTGAAATAGAACTCTTTTGTAAAATTATAAATGTCTTAACTGTGACTTTTGATCAATTTAATCCTTTAATAAGTTCTTTCCTCTGACCCCAAACTTTTGAATGGTAATGTACATATTTGTATCTACTGATAGCTGCGATCAGCCATATTTGATATTTATGTACATACACATAATGTTTAAGTGATCTGTTTGAATTTTTTTTTTCTTCTGGACAAACATTTTTTTTTGTGATAACATGTCATGATTTTATTAGTCATCGTTTTATAGAGCAGAATGACTTCTGCCCAAATCTAAACTGAAGTCTTGTAAACGCAACCCAAGTTATTAGCTGTAATGGTGTGACTGTAAGACAGCAGCCTCTGTTGTAACAAAGACAAACATCTCTATTGTTGCTTCTGGGCTTGTGTCTGGATGTCTACTAAAAAGGCTGAGGTCAAACCTTAGGTCTTCCACTCATGACACTTTGTGTTATTGGCTCAGTCCTTTCAGATGATTGCTTTTCCAGTCTGTAGATCACAACATTGTTTCCTTTCTCAGTGAGAGACCTGAGTAATGCTTCCCTGTGCAATAAATATCATATTAGTGAATCATTCCTGCTCCACATATTCATGTTCCCATTATATATCTTAATTAGAAAAATTGATAATTTTCTTTTATTACAATGTCTCAGTGAAGTGAACATATACGGCTGAATTTAAAAAAAATGTAACTACTTTGGTTTGAGCAGTTGTTGCCATTTTTGGCATTTTGTAACTTGTTAGATAAAGACCTGCCAGTTATTAAGAAATATTCCAGATTGCTTCTCTCTTTTTTTTAGCTATAATTGAAGTTTTCTTGTTAATATAGTTTTAATTGGGGATCAGTTTATTGGTTTGTCCATTGTCCTCAGTTTCACTTTCCATCTTGTTAGTTTTGTAATATACCTTTAACAAAGAAATATTCAAGTGAAATCATCTAGTGACATCATCAGTGGCATAAGCATTTTTGGTTTGGTTCTGTGGTATTTTGTGGTGTCAGTTGGTTTGATTTTCATTTATTTTACAATAGTTTATCCAGTTTGATCAAATTACAGAAATCTAGATTATCAAATTTTCTTGCTTTGTGTAGATAATCAGTTATAAAAGTTATAATTAATAAATTAAGGGTTTTGAGCTATTCCTGAAAGTCTGGTTTAACCTTTTATCGAAATACGAAAGTAATAATTGTGTTTACACTGAACAAAGTTCAAAAGATTTATAAAAGAAATGACCCTAAAAGTGGATTATATTCAAAATGTGTCAGTACTCAAAGGAAAGACTTGATTTGTGCAAGAGGGTATGAAATCTATTGCATTTGCCTGGACAGCCCTAGTCCGCAAGCACCCAGGCTGCAGTTTCAGTCCCATCCATTGTTCACTGGAGAAAGGAGAGTGGGTCTGCGGAGCTGTGTGAAAAGCCCCAGGGGAAGAATTACCCAGTAGCCTCCTACAGTTTCTTTACTTCCTGCAGACCGTGGCTGTGTTACGTTTCAGTCTCACAGGCTCCTGCGCTGGGCCTCTCAGGATGACAAACACCTCGGTCAAGCTGAGAAAGTCCCCAAGGGCCTTTTCATTCATAGATGTACAATAACAGAGCCAAGGGGTGAATAACTCCCAGTAAATGCATTGCCCTCCCACAGGGGTGCAGATGGGAAGTACTCTGTGTTACTGGAGCATGGTGCCGAGACGGTCAGGTCTAGAGGCTGTGTCTCACGTAACGGTGAATCATTATGTAAACAGAACTGTAGTAGTGTTTCATTGAACTTCTGCCATTGTGTTCTGCCAGATTAGTAGACCGTCTCATATCCAGAGGTACTTTTATCTTAGGCACACTGCCAACATGCTCTGCTTTAAGTGGGAGGCATTTTCCCACATGATGGATCGGACTGATGTAAGAAGTGAGTTTCCTCTCTGGCTAAAAAGGGCCATGGGAAGTTTTGACGGGAGAAACTCTTGAGCAAGCAGAGCGACTGTCTGCACTCAGCGCTCGGCACTCTGCTGTATCTGAAGTGCTGAAAGGCCTCTTGCTTTAATGAGATAAGTGCTTATTGTTAGGGCTGCACAATTAATCGAATTTCTAATCGCGATTACAATTATGGATGCCACAATTACGTAATCATTCAATTAATCGTTCAAAGTCCACTTATGTTATTCTGCACGCTTAAGATATGTTTTTTTTTCTTTCTACATGTTATCTTAAGGGTTTTTCCATTGTTTTAGTTTAACATTATAATACCATTCATATTTTTACTTTTTTTATAATTTAAAGAAGAAACCAATCCGATGTATATTTGACATTTGAGGCTTAATACTATAGAAAAGCACTAAAGGTTTTTCAGTTAGAGTGTTTTCAGCTTGTTTATTTTCATATAAAAATATGGCATGCAGTTGTATCAAACAATGGTATAAACATCATTCAATGTAAATTGTGATAATCGTAATTAATAATCGCAATTACAATTTCAAGGGAATAATCGACCATTATGATTGTTGTCATAATCGTGCAGCCCTACTTGTTGTTGACTTCAGTTTAGTTCAATGTGGGTCAATGACGTGATGCTTTTTTATTAATTTATTTATAAATGCGTTCAAAAAGCAATTCATACAAATGTTAACTTTAATACACCTCTGTTATTATGAATATTCTTTTAAAGTTCTGCATTAAAAGGTATTTTGATAATCTTGGGGAGACATAAATTGTCAGGGTGGTGCAACTGTAAGTAGTTTGGTGTAATTTATTATTATTAATATTATTATTACTACTACTACTATTTAAAAATGTTAACATAAATGCTTCACTGCTTTTTAATATTTTAAAACTTTTGTCTGCCAAATTAAAGTCATGTTGTGTGACCAACATGTAGAGACACAAAACAGGAAGTGATATCATACCCTGCAGACCCTCATGACTGTGTGTCAAAGTTGATATTTGTGAAAACAAATAAAACAAACACTTTTTACATTGGAAAAAAAAAGCATTTAAAAGCATTTTTGAAAATAATAAAGATACGTACGATTATTTGAATGTATTATTTATTTGAAAATGGTATAAACATTTTTCAAAACCATACATGAATACAAAGAGTCCGTTTCTAAGATCTTGCTAAATGTGTTTAAAGTTGATTTTTAAAAGATTTTCTCTTTTCTTTATTGTGGCCACTCTTATATGTCCCATGTGCAGCTCATCTGTCTGATGCTTATAAGCCTGTCATGGATGTTTGTGTAAGGCAAGCTTGTTTGACTTGTTTCAAAAGTTTAAAATGAAAGTTTAGCATCTTATGTATAACATACAGTATATGCGGTAAACCGAACTGAAATTTAGTATAAATATGCTGTTGGTTTACACTATAGGGAAAGACTCTCTGTGCACCATCAGCCGAACAGGAAATGCACTCACATCTTAAAAATGAAGTTGTCACTTACATCTTTTTAAAGCATATAGAGTACATCTGGACTTGCTTGGAGTCTGTACATTTCTATTATTTGTAAGTGCAAATTCCATTAATGTTGATGTGGGTGGATGGAGCCTGTAGAGATGGACGGTCAGTGCTGCCACCGGCTGAGCAAAGGCAAGGATGTGGAACTTATTTTGACCAATTCTCCAGCGAGACATGAAGTCCTCCATGCTGCTCCTGGGAAAGTGTATAAAAGGAACTAATGTATGTAATTGTGTGTTTTTCCATTCGGAGTGCCTACATGAAAATGGTACTAATTATAGCGCCGTTATTTTACAGTAAATAAAAGTATTTTCCTTGGATAAGTTCACGCACTGTGCCAGCTGTTAACTATTAACGGACGATGAGTTCACACATTAAGAGAACCACGTTGTTGAATGTGTTGTTTTTTTTTACCCTACAGACTGTGAAATTGTTGAACTTTAAATACTTTCACCACATTGGTTTAAGCATATGTTGCTGTTTTTGTCGTGCTATAACTTATAAGATGGAAAAACTTGAAATTTATTTACAAATATTGCAAGTGTTTCTTATTTTTTTCTTTATTTAATCAATATATATATATATATATATATATATATATATCAAAAGATTTTTTTTCCATAATTAATTTAACTTTTATTTTAATGTAGGTTTGTGAAATTCTCATCTTATTTACCCATATTAAACCTTATACTAATGAATACAGGTAGAATGAACGGCTAATTTAGACAGTCTCTATGCTGTTAAGTACAAAACAAACATTTCCATCAATGACTATTGATTATTTTGTAATGTTTTATTATATAGTTAAAGGTTTTTGATGGATGATTCATAAGTGTTGGTTTGTCATACTTGACTGTTTGAAGATTTTTGTTGCTTTTTCTATTATTTAGATACAGAACGCTGATGACGTCTTGATCACACCGCTGGAGAAGTTTCGCAAAGAGCAGATTGGAGCGGCTAAAGTAAGTTCTTAATAAACCCCATTGTGAGTTAATGTACTACATGCCAGCAGAAAGTAATTTTTACCTACGCTGCGACAGGATCCTATACGGTCAATATAGGTCTGTGAAACCCTGCAGGAAGGGGGGAAATTGCAAACACCTGTTGAAGACAAGCTCAGTCAAATTATGGCCAGATACTGTAATGCCACATTGACCAACATGAAACGGCCTGTGAGCGCTGTGCAAGAGGGCACGTTAAAGTTAAAGCTTTACTCTTTCTAGGAGATTAGCTTGTTGTGCTGCATGGGAGCCCTGATGATCTGTGAATGTGGCCCCTCCAGCCATATTAAAAGAGCTGGAGCGCTGCCTTTTCAGCTCAAGGATCCAGAGCCAAAACTCTTGATGCCTTATTTGGGCGTTTTGGCCCAATGCTCTTAAGCGAGCGCTGCGAAGGAACTCGCTCAACTTAGACATTGAGACATGATAGAGGCCAAAGGGAACGGCAGCCTGGCTGTTCAACCTCCCGCAGATGTGTGCACATATTCAAACCAAAACAGTCACACATAATCTATTCCCTACTTATAATATGTAAATAGTAGGTCAGAATTGGAACAAACAGCTGAATGATAACTGTAAAAATAATAATATATCTATATTCTAAATATTATAATATTTATACATTTTTTAAGAGTTTTTATTTCGAAAGAAGGCTCTCGTACTGTAAAAGGCTGTATTTGATAAAAAAATATAGTAACATATTACATTTTAAAATAACTTTTCTATTTGAATAAATATTTTAAAATGTAATTTAATCCTGGTATGGCAAATCTGAATTTTCAGCAGCCATTACTCCAGTCTTCGGTGTCACATGAGCCTTCGGAAATCATTCTAATATGCTGATTTGCTGCTCAAGAAACATTTCTTATTATTATCAATATTGAAAACAGTTGTGCTGCTTAATATTTTGTGGAAACCATGGCAAGATTCAAGATCAAGGGACACATTTCCTAACAGCTTGCGCCAGCGCAAACAATATTTTGGCGTTAAAAACTACTGTCAAAATTGGCTAAAGACGCGCATTGAAAAATTAGCGCTGAAAAGGCATGGACCCAGTCATTTTTGCGGCAGACCTTATTGCTAATGTTTGCTGTAGTCAATTTACTGGTATATGCGCCATTATTTACCGGCCAAAAAAAAGCATGTCTTAAACCAGACGCTAATTTGCGCTGCTCTTGGTAGATTTTGTTGGTCATTATGGAAATGTTCCGGTTGCGTCTGTGTTCTTTAATGTGCGCACTGTCAGTAGATCAGACAGCCACAGAACTTTCCACTCCCATCTTTTATGGGATTGCGCTCTCATGCTGATTTGAGATTCTCATTGGTGCCCTGTTTAGTAAATCTGGCCCCAAGATTCTTTGATGAGTAAAAAAAAAGTTCAAAAGAACAGCATTTATAACATTATAAATATTTTAAAAATTTAATGAATTCTTGCTGAATAAATATTTTATTTAAAAAAAACTTACTGACCCCAGACTTTTGAATGCTAGTGTACATGCATATTATTTCTTTTTTTATGTCTACATACTATAAAATATAATGTATGTATATA